ATATTTTATTTATTTATTTTTACATGGTGCTGAGGATTGAACTCAGTGCCTCGCATGTGCTAGGTGAACACTCTACCACTGAGACACAACCCTAACCCCTAAAAAATATATTTTATTTAGAGACAGGGTCTCACTGAGTTCCTTAGGAACTTGCTAAGTTGCTGAGGCTGTCGCTGAACTTGTGATTTCAACCTCCTGAAATGCTGGAATTATAGGTGTGTGGCACTGCACCCAGCTTAGAGGAGAATTTTAAAGTAGCTACCTCGTTGTTGTTATTAAACTTATTTTTGAGTTAGGCTAATAAGAATTATAAAGAAAGTAATAAACAACTAAATTTCTGCATTTTTCTTAAGTGATTCCATGAAATACAGAGAGAATTAGAAATGATCTGTGTCTTTTAGTTTTTTCAGTACTAGGAATTGAATCACAGGAGTTCCTACCACCAAGCCCTTTTTATTTTGAGATAGAGTTTTGCCAAGTTGCTCAGGCTGCTCTCACACTCTGGATCCTCTTGCCTCAGCCTTCTGAGTCTCCAAGGATTACAGGCATGTGCCCCCTGACCTGGCATGATTGTCTTAACTATTCTGCTAATCATGCTTAGTTTAGGCATTCAGATCTGTTTTGAGTACTGGAAGATCTCAAGGTAAATTGAATTTTGTATGTTAAAGCTACAGACCTGCTTTTCCAGATTTGATTTTTGGTCATAAGATGAATACAGAAAAATGGAAAGTAAAATTTACCCCATATCCTCCCATCTACTAATAACTTCACAATAGCCCTAAATATTTTGATGTTTCTTGTTAAAGAAACATAAGAAATTTTGCATGAGTGGAATATTACGAGTGTTATTCTGTGACCTTATTTTAGCCAACGACATTTCTCCTATATATTAAATCTCTTTATATGTAATTGTTTATCATGCCTATGTACTTTTCCATTGTGTTTATACTAGATAATATGGTAGGTTAAAAATCTCATTTACTCTGGGCATGGTAGTGCATGCTAGTAATCCCAGTGACTTGGGAGGCTGAGGCAAGAGGATCACAATTTCAAAGCCAGCTTCAGTAACTGTGAGGAACTAAGCAACTCAGTGAGACCCTGTCTCTAAATAAAATGCAAAATAGGGCTAGGGATGTGGCTCAGTGATCCTGTATCCCAGAGTTCAACCCCTGGCGCCACCTCCCTCCAAAAAAATTATAATTTAATATAATTTAATTTTATAATTTAATTTCTCAGGTATGTTATAACCCCAAACTATTGTTCTTTTACTTTTTAACTGGTAATTAAATTTGTCATTACTTAAAATTTTAATGCTTTAATATTCTTAAGTATTTCTGTTAGACACCTGGCCTTACAAAATAAGAGTACATTAAAAAATTTTTTTTAATTGTTGGCAGACCTTTTGTTTTTTAAAAAATATTTGTTTATTTATATGTGGTGCTGAGAATCAAACCCAAACTTTACTGCTAAGCTACAACCCCAACTGTGAGAGCATGTTCTTTAAAAAAATATTTCTTGGGGCTGGGGATGTGGCTCAAGTGGTAGCGCGCTTGCTTGGCATGCATGCGGTCCGGGTTCGATCCTCAGCACCACATACAAACAAAGATGTTGTGTCTGCCGAAAACTAAAAAATAAATATTAAAAAAATATTTCTTAGAAAATTCTGTGAGTTTGACTTATTAAGACTTTAAGGTTGTGCAAAGGAAGAAAAGAACTGAAATAGACTTCAGTGATAGATTCTAAACATAAGGAGAGGGGTTACCTAAATGCTGGCTCAGATACATCATTTTTAGTAGTTATATTTGTTTAAAACCTAGATTTCTAGATCTTACTGAATATTAACGAAATAAAAACCTCTGAGAACAGAGTTTGGAACTTGTATTTTAAACAAGCTTCTCAGGTGTTTTCATGATTTTTAGAATTTAGTGTATACTAATTAATCTATTTTTTTTAATGGTACTGGGATTGAATCCAGAGGTGCTCTTCCACTGAGATGCATCCCCAGCCCTTTATGTTTTATTTTTGATTTTGAGACAGGGTCTTAAGTTGCTGAGTACGACCTTGAACTTGTTATCCTGCTTTATTTTCTTGAATAGCTAAGATTATAGGTGTGCCCCACCATGCTTGGCTAATACATTCAATTCTTAAACTTATCTCTTGCCCATATGCCACTGAATTGTGATGTTTCTGTAGTGTCACTTTTGAGCTCAAAAAAGAAATTTTTTTTTCAGTGTTGATTTGAATCCACATTCTTGCACATGCTAGGCCAAGTGCTTTATCACTGACCTATAATCTCAGATCTTGAGCCCCAAGAAACAAAGGACCATTCTCTCTATGCTTCTTGTCCTTTTTCTTGTAATGTTAGGGATGCAACATACTTGATCATTATCTATAACAGTGATCCCAGTGGATGTGGTGTATATAGGGAAAAGAGTATTAAAATTTTAGAGATGTAGTTCAAAAGAGCCCTGTAAGGTGGACCAGTGGTGCACGCTTATAATCCTGACCTGTAATCCCAGCTATTTGGGAGACTGAGGCAGGAGGATCATAAGTTCAAGGCCAGTCTTGGTAATTTAGCAAGAGTTGGTTTCAAAATAAAAAATAAAAAAAGGACTGGGAATGTAGCTTAATGTTAGAGTGCCCCTGGGTTCAAGCCCTAGTAACACAAGAGAAAAGAAAAAAAAGGGGTAAGTAGGAGAGGAAAGAAAGGAAAGGAAAGCCCTCAAGGTGATTTTGATGTATCCTCACATAGTGAACCATTGACTCACAAGATAAATACTCAAATGATATGTGATAGCAAAATGAAAATACATTTTATTTAGTTGACAGAAAAGAGAATATAAAACCAAAAATATATTATTCATTGTTATAAAGTAATTATACCTTCTCAGTTTTATTGTGTAGTATTGGGTTATAAATGTTAGAAGAGGAAAAAAATGAGTTTGTATTCTTCAGTCTTGTGACGAAGTATCAGTGTAGCATAGGTATTAGAAACTGTATCTTGTGTTCTTAGGGTGTGAAGTCCTTTTTTTAAACAATATTGATAAGTTTGTAGTGTATGTATGAAATTGGTTATATGTATTTAGACAAACATTATAATTGAATATTGTCCAATCTCAAATGTGTTTTAATAAAAAAAAAACAGAGTTCCATTTAATTTTTTTTTTTAATATTTATTTTTTAGTTATCTCGGCGGTCACAACATCTTTGTTTGGATGTGGTGCTGAGGATCGAACCCGGGCCACACGCATGCCAGGCGAGCGCGCTACCACTTGAGCCACATCCCCAGCCCTCCATTTAATTTTAAAGTGTGTAAATCACCATCTTATTATAAAAAAATATCGTAGGTGGCTGTGGTGGTACACACCCGTAATCCCAGCTACTCAGGAGGCTGTCAGGAGGATTGCAGTTTGAGACCAGATTCAGCAATTTAGCAACATCCTGTCTTAAAATTAAAAAAAAAAAAAAAATTAAAAAAGGTCTGGAGGGCTGAGGTTGTAGCTCAGTGGTAGAGTGCTTGCCTAGCATGTGTGAGGCACTGGGTTCGATCTCAGCACCACATATAAATGAGCAAAATAAAGGTCCATTGACAACTAAAAAATATATATATATATATATATTTTAAAAAAAAAAAAAGGACTGGGTATGTAGCTCAGTGGTAAAGTGACCCTGGGTTCAATTCCCAGCTCTGCAAACAAAGAAAACAATAGCAAAAACCAGAGCA